TATTTTAGTAGAGATGGGGTTTCACCATGTTGGCCAGGCTGGTCTTGAACTCCTGACCTCAGGTGATCTGCCCACCTCGGCCGCCCAAAGTGCTAGGATGACAGGCATGAGCCACCACGCCAGCTTTTTTTTTCTCTTTTTCTTTTAAGAAATGGAGTCTTGACCAGGCGCAGTGGCATATGCCTGTAATCCCAGCACTTTGGAAGGCCAAAGCGGGTGGATCCCCTGAGGTCAGCAGTTTGAGACCAGCCTGGCTAACATGTGAAACCCCGTCTCTATTGAAAATACAAAAATTAGTCGGGCATGATGGCACGCACCTGTAATCCCAGCTACTCAGAAGGCTGAGGCAGGAGAATTGCTTGAACCCAGGAGGCAGAGGTTGCAGTGAGCTGAGATGGCACCACTGTACTCCACTCTGGGTGACAAAGTGAGACCCTGTCTCAAAAAAAAAAAAAAAAAAAAGAAATGAAGTCTTACTCTGTTGCCCAGGCTGTAGTACAGTGGCACAATCATAGCTTACTGTAGCCTTGAACTCCTGGGCTCAAGCAGTCTTCCTGCCTCAGCCTCCCAAGTGGCTGGGACCACAGGCACGATGTGCCACTACGCCTGGTTCATTTTTTTTTTTTTTTTTTCTAGAGATAGGATTTCACTATGTTGCTTAGGCTGGTCTGAACTCCTGACCTCAAGCGATCCTCCCACCTTGGCCTCCCAACAAAGGCTGGACTTGTGCCACCTGCATTTATTCTATTCCCATCCACTCCAGTATCTGCGTCCCCTGCTGATGACAATTAGCCAGGGCTTGACAACGCCCTCCATGTAGGTCCCCTCCCCAGGTCTTGGTCCCCCCTCAGCATCTGCATTTGAAGTAGATAAGGAGTGGCTAGTTCCTGAGATGAGGGAAAGGTCTCTGTTGCACCTGATCTTCAGATAACACTTTGAAATGAGTCCAGGATCTCACTCTCTTCTTTTTTTTTTTTTTTTTTTTTTTTTTTTTTTTTACAAAAGACTGGGGAGAGGGGTGGCAAGTCTAATCTATTCGAATCTTTACAGGCACTTTTCTTTTTACAAGTTGGAAACTTGAGGGATCCTTGAGGAAAGTCCAGGGCATGAATTTCAGTTTCGGAGTCCCCGACTCAGTGGCCCACCTCAGGGCTCCGTCAGTCCTTCGTGCCAAGGTCAGGCTCAACTCCAGCCTGCGGTGCCGCTCAGCTGCACTCCTCGAAGATGTCTGGGTAGTGCCGGAAGAGCACAGGCGGGTCCCGGTCACCTCGGACGGGGGCCCGAGGCACAGCCCGGATCCCAGGCCTCCGGCCCCGCCGCCCCCCAGAGCAGGAGCGGTGGATCCACTGGTGCGCTTCCACTGCGAACTTCCTCTTGAAGCGCATGCCACACTCGGGGCAGGGGAAGGGCCGCTCCCCGGAGTGCATGCGCCTGTGGCTGACCAGCAGCGAGGGATAGGTGAAGCGGCGGCCGCAGTCCGTGCACACATGGCGCCGCTGGCCGGCCTGAGCATCCACGCTGGGCATGGGTGCCGGGGGCTGTGCTCCTGTGGTCGGGTCCCAGGCAGCATTTTTGGGTGGCTGTGCCCGTGCCGGGGCAACGCTGATAGCTGGGTCAGGGTTGCATTCCACCGGCACTTCAGGACTGTCCTTCACAGGAGCCTTTCTAGGCCCTTTGGCTCTTGGAGCTTCCTCGGGTTCCTCTTCCTTCCTGTTTGGGGCATCTCCTGGGAAACCGGAATTAAGTTACACTTACAAACACTTCTGCACAGACTGTCTCAGGTTATAGAATGCTTTTCACTTAAGGCAGTGCCAGAGAAGTTCTGTCCAGTGATTAACACACAGGCTTTAGAACAAGGTAAACAGGATTCAGATCTCCTGAAAGTGACTTATCTGAGCCTTGGTTCCTTATGCATCAAATTGGAATAATAACAGCTTTTCACTTAACAGCATTGCTGGATTAGCTGAGTAGATGCATGTTAAGCACTTAGTAAGTGCTCAGGAAGCAGGGGCATTTATTTATTTATTTATTTATTTATTTATTTATTTTTGAGACAGAGTCTCACTCTGTCCCCCAGGCTGGAGTGAAGTGGAAAGATCTCAGCTCACTGCAACCTCCACCTCCCAGGTTCCAGTGATTCTCCTGCCTCAGCCTCCCAAGTAGCTGGGATTACAGGAGCTCACCACCATGCCCAGCTAATTTTTGTATTTTTAGTAAAGACAGAGTTTCACCATGTTGGCCAAGCTGCACTTGAACTCCTGACCTCAGGTGATTCACCCGCCTCAGCCTCCCAAAGTGCTGGGATTACAGGCATGACCCACCGCACCTGGCCAAGCAGAGGCTATTATTAGTGTGGTTTCTCCATTTTTTGTAAGGTAAGACTCTTTTATAGATGGGGAAACATTTGCTCAAGGTCTCCACTGGGGGATGGTGAAGGGAGAAGAGCCAACTTGTCAATGACTGGGTATTTTTTCTCGTGCCACTTTGTCTCACTTGAGGAATGTGAAAGGTAGACCTGAAGGCACTTCCAATCTTGGGGAGTTTTAGTTATTCCTGAAAGAGAGAGAATGAGCTGGCCTGGCACAGTGGCTCAGGCCTTTAATCCCAGCACTTTGGGAGGCCGAGGCGGGCAGGTCACATGAGATCAGGAGTTCGAGACCACCCTGGCCAACATGGTGAAACCCCGTCTGTACTAAAAATACAAAAATTAGTCGCTCGTGGTGGCGTGTGCCTGTAATTCCAGCTACTCTGGAGGCTGAGGTGGGAGAATCATTTGAACCCAGGGGACGGAGGTTGCCATGAGCCGAGATAGCACCACTGCACTTCAGCCTGGGCTACAGAGTGAGACTCCCTCTCAAAAAAAAAAAAAAAAGAGAGAGAGAGAATGAGAGAAATCTGGAAGCACAAGCATGTTGGACTGGGCTCCCAGTCCCCACAGGACCGCTGTCCTATGTTCTGAAAACTTTGTACCAAGTCTGCCTTCTTTACTCCTCTAGTACCCAACACAGTTGAATTTCTTTAAGGATGCTGGAAGTGGGGGCCTGAAAGGAAACTCTGCTAGACAGGAAGCCTTGGAAAATCAAGTAGCGGGGGGGGACCTGGGACTATCCCTCACCTCTCCGAGCTCCTCCCAGTCTTTCCCCCTTCTCAGGATCCTGGGCGGCGGGGCTCCAAGCCTCAGTCTCCTGTTCCATCCAAGAGATGAGGGCTGGTTTGGGGCCTGGGAATCCTGGGAGAGAACAGGGATCACAGCACGGGCCTGAGAGGCCATCGTGGGGAGTTGGCATTCCCCTCCAGGCTGAGGGCACCCCCTCGGAGCTTATACTCAACCTGGACCGGGGTGCAGTGCTGCTGCCTGAATGAAGTGGATGAGGGTGAAAACACTCCCGAGGGGGTACCTGAAGCCCTGGGAACGGGAGGTGGCTGCTGGTGTTGGCGCAAGAGTACGGGGTTAGGGCTCACAGTTCTCTCAGCCCTTCCACATCATCTCCCCTGTGAACCCAGTGAAGGAGGAGGGGGCTCGGACCCGGGGCTCTCACCGAGCGCGCCCAGGTGGCCGTAGGTCTCCCGCATCACGTCCCGGTACAGAGCCCTCTGCGCGGGCCGCAGACAGCCCCACTCCTCCGGGGAGAAGTACACGGCCACGTCCGCGAAGCTCACAGCCCCGGGCTTCCTGCAACCAGGCCGGGTCTCC